AGATTCTTTAAAAGATTCTGGCCGTTCTTAAAGGACATTTTGAAATTTTTCACTGGTTTCTACTCCGTAAAAAAGCTAGGAAAAGGTGTAAATCATTCCTTTATCACGCTGATTCCGAAGAAGTCGAATCCGGTGGGATTAGAGGAGTATAGGCCCATTAGCTTGGTGGGGGGATTGTATAAGATTTTGTCGAAAGTGTTATCAAAAAGACTAAGGGCGTGCATAGATTCGTTGATTGGCCCTTCGCAGTTTGCGTTTGTTCCAGGGAGATAGATTTGCGATTGTTCCTTTATAGCAAATGAAGGCATTGATTACTGGAGGAGGAAAGGAATTGTGTTTAAAGTGGATTTCAGAGGAGCTTATGATTCAGTTGATTGGGCGATCTTGATCAAAATTATGGAGTATATGGGGTTCGGGCAGAGATGGCGGTCTTGGATTACGCCATTTAATTCAGTTGATGGGAGTATAATGTGTTTAAGTGCTTATCCACAACATCTATTTTGGTATTAATAAATGATTCTCCTAAAGAAAGCTTCAACATATCTTGGGGATTATGCCAAATATGTTCATTATCACCGTTGCTATTTAATTTAGTGGGAGAGTTGCTAAACCTTTTGCTGTCCAAGGCAGTAAAGTTGGGCTTGTTTAATGGATTTCAGATCGGTTGCGCTAATAGGTCTTTCTCGCTCTCTTATTTGCAATTCGCTGACGATTTGATAATATTTTGTAGCGCTTCAGAAGGTCAATTGAAGAATATTACGAGAATTTTGGTCGCTTTTGGGATGTTTACATGGTTGCAATTAAATCTATCGAAGAGTAAGATATTTGGTATTAATATGGAAGAATCAACTGTCAAAGAATGGGCAAATTCAATTGGGTGTATGTTTGTTGTTTTTCTGACGGAGTATCTTGGGCTTCCCCTTGGTGCCAGGCGAAACTCGGTAGCTTTATGGGACCCGATTTTTAAGAAATTTTATTAGAAGTTGGCTAGGTGGAAAACGACGCCGCTATCCCTTGCGGGTAGGGCTGTTTTAGTAAAGTTTGTCCTAGTCATGCTCAGAATGCCTTATACTGTTCGAAAAAAGTTGGATTCACTAATGACTAATTTTTTGTGGGGGAGCTAGGCCCAAAAAAATCGAATCCACCGAGTGAATTGGCCGACAGTATGAAAACAGAGAGATTATGGGGGTTTGGGTATCACATTTAAATCTGATGAATAGAGCTCTATTAGGGAAATGGGTCTGTAAGTTTACTAGCGAAAAGGAGTCTTGGAGGAAGCGGATGGTGTGCTGTAAGTACAATTTAGATAGAAGGTTGATTTTGTTGGATAAGAATCTACCTTCTATTTCTTCTTGGCTTTGGAAAGGAGTAATAAATAACTATTGGTCGAATGATGCTTTTGGCCTTTGCTTCCGCAATCATCTTATTTTGCAGGTGGGAAAGGGAAATTTCATTATGTTTTGGCATGATAGATGGCTATGCATCATTCCTTTGAAGATAAAATTCCCTAGGCTTTTCGCCTTGTCGGTCAATAAGGATAGGGTCATTGCGGATTATGGTTGTCTAAACAATGGGAGATGGTTTTGGGATATCCAAATGAGGCGAAATATGCTGGATTGGGAAGTTGAACAATGGGTCGAGTTATTGTCAATGTTGGATAGTGTTAGTCTTGGATCGCTGGATGATGATTGTTGTGTTTGGAAAGGGAACAGGGAGGTTGTATATTCGGTTAAATCGTGCATTAATTTAGTATCAAGCTTGTCTGTTTCGGATTTGTCTTGGTCGAAGCTTGTTTGGGTTGGAATAGCACCTCCAAAAGTGGAGGCTTTTCTATGGCAGGTTTTTCACTAGAAGTCGGTTGTTAAATCTTCTCTACTGAGTTGGGGTGTTCGTGGGATCGAGGATCCTCTTTGCCCGCTATGTGGGTTGGCCCGAGTTTGTTTGTCATTTGTTCTTCTCATGCAGAATAGCTTGGGGGGTTTGGTTGCGGTTTCTATGGTTGTGGAATATATATACAATTCTGCCTAATAATCCCAAGGCGTTTATGTACTCATGGTTTGATTTATTACCGGAGTCGGACATTTGGAAATTCGTCCCGGGTGCTATAATGTGGACTGTATGGAAATGTCGAAATCAAACGGTGTTCGAGAATGGAAGGTTGGATCAAACTCTTCTATTCTTTTTGGCTAGATATAGTGTGGCTGCCTGGTTCTCGGCAAAGAACTCAAATTTCCCTATTCTCCTAGATTGTCTTGTGGGAGACTTAACTTTGGTTTATTTGCACTTTACTCCTACGAAGAAAGCTTCCCCCACATCATATCGGTGCCCCCTTCCTCCGTTTTTTTTAAAGTGAATGTGTATGGGGTTGTAAGTTGTGACTGGAGGTGTAGTGGTATCGGTGGACTGCTTAGGGATGATGATTATAAGCAGTTGGGGTATTTCTCGGTAGCATCCGGACCAGGCCCTCCGATTCTTGTTGAACTAAAAACAATTCAAGCTGGGCTAAGTCTCTTCCTAGATTTGGAGTGGAGCTATAAGGGGCGTCTTATTTTAGAAAGTGCTTCTTCTATTGCTTTGAAGTGGATTAAAGATCCGGAAGCAAGTCCTGGTGCCTTTGTACATCTAGTTAAGGAAATTGCCCAATAAAAGAAGCAAGGGAGGAAGTAGGTTTGGTTTTGTTCGTTTCACCAGACTGGAGGATGCGAGGAAGGCTATCAACTGTGTTGATAGATCTTGGATTCAAGGCAACAAAATTAGAGTATTCATGGCGAGATATCTTCCTCGTGATGTTTTCTGGAGGAAGAAGTTCTCTGGTCCTTATTCAGTCGAGGGAAACAATGTAAGGAAGGATGTTAGTCACATGGTGGCTCCCATTGCTGGTTCTGTTGACGACAGTAAATTCTCAACTCTCAAAGACAGCTTGTTAGGATGGTGCAAAATTTTTATTAAGTGGGTAGAGTCGTCTTCTTTTGAAGAGGCAGTCGTATCCCCGTTATCCAAGGTGAGGGAGCTCGTTGGTGCCTTTCCAGTTAAGTTTCCTGAGCTGGAAGAGGGTTCTGAAGAAGCTGGAAGTTCCATTCACTCTTCGGAGGTGCAGTCGGCCGTGAGGTGTTCTGAGAATGAAGAAAAATTTTTCTGCTGTTTGGGGACTAGTGCTAGAGGCAGCATCCTGTCGGGTGAGGGTGTGGAGGACAGGAACATAGGAGAGGCTTTGATGATGGGTCCGAGGAGCGACGTTGGGGGTCAGAGGATGGTTCTTTCCCAAATGGAGGGAGTGGGGGAACACAAGACATTGCTGGTGCATGCGGAGAGAGAAGCAGTGGATGTCTTTAAGGACACTTGTTTGCCTGCACGTGGTTTTGTGGAGAGTAAGGATTTTTTAATTAATTCTCCCATACAGGATGGTCTCTTAGTGTCAAAGGAATTGGAAGATGTGAGCCTAAAGGATAAAGTGGATCTGTTGGTTCACGTGGAGAGGAATAATGAAGTTGCCTTTAGGAAAAATAGTGAGTCTGCATGTGCTTTTGTAGGCTCAAAGGATTATTTTAATGATTTCCCCATGTTGGATGGTCGGGTTGAGATAAGGGAGGTGGAGGAAGGGATTCACGAGGGCTGTTCTTACAACTACGCTTTCGTAAATCCAAAGGGTATCGCAAGGCAATACATGAGACCTAAGGTGGGTTCTGGCAACAAATTTAGATCTAAACAATTTTTTCAGGGGAATTTTACATCTCCTAAAAGAAAGTATAGGGGTTCCCGAAGCAAGAGCCATCAGAGTAAGGTGCATTGGGAGGAAGAGGTGTCTGTTTTTGATGGCAGATTCACTTATGAATCTGATTTTCCAGCATTGGGGCAGTCTCAACAGAAGGATACGTTCAATTCCTTGCCTTTTGGGAAAGATTTGGGTTGTGAGTCTAATGGCGCAGTAGTGTATCTATTGTCGGAAGACGATGGCGGGGGAAGGAGTAGAAGGTTCAGGTGATCTACACCATGCTTTTTGTCTGAAGCTGGAAGTTCGGATGGTCTTTAGCCAACAAGACGTGGTGATGTGGTGGAAAGGCGGCCATATGCGTGTTTTTTTTGTTTTCTTTTCATGTGAAAGCTCCATGGCCTTTGAGTTAGAAGTTGGCTTTTATGGTTTTAGTCAGCTGTCACCCTTGGCTTTTTTCTGGTTGTTTTGTTTGATTGAGTGTCTATCGGGCCTCGTTTAGGTTTTTTGTTTGGCCAGTCTTTTTTAGGTTGTTGTTGTTGCTTTGTTGGATTAGGCTGGTTCTGGTAGGATTGTTGGTGGTTGTTTTTGGTGTTTTGTTCATATTGGGGGTGGCTCCCTGGTTGTATCGTGTTCTTTCTATGGTTAATAAAATCTTAAGGCATTCTTTTCCTCCTTCTGCTGATTAAGGAGCTTCTCTATAAGCTCCTTTAATCATGAAGGAGGTTTTTAACGAGGCCTGCAATTCCTATAAAAAAAATAATGTGACTATTAGGCATATTAAGAGATGTTTTAATTGGGAAGCATATAGTTTAGCTAAGTCGGGCATAGGGTAATGTGGGGACGGTTTGTACTTAAAATGGTTTTACCCTAGATGTACTCTATGTTTTAGTAATAAAATTTTGGGCACTCTTTTCCTCTTTCCAATGTCCGTTGAGATACCTGTGTAGCTTGACGGTTATGAAGGGGTTTTTTAACGAGGCCCTTTTCTTATAAAAAGAAAAGAAAAAGAAAGAAAGAAAGAGGGATTCTGTTATGGTAGACACACATCTGAATTGGAATGGGGTGCAATTGACATAGAAGCTGAGGGAGCAGTTGTCAGATGAGAATAAATGCATGTTGGTAGATTTTATTTGCTTAGTTCTTGATGTCACTGTCAATTCACCATTTAACTCCTTTTGAATTTTGTGGTAGCATCTTCTTTGTTTTGCTTTTGATTTAAACTTTTGCAGACTTTGTTAATTTACGTTCTCAATTTTGGTTTACAACTAATAGCATAATTTTCTTTCAGATTGACGATGATAATACCAGTTCTATAAGGCAGAATCCAGCTGCTTATATGCAAATTATGGGCTGCGCAACAAGGGGGCTGCACAGGTACTCTCTTCGAGTAATGACTTGAATATTACACTTGATACAGTTTATGCAATCACGCTCTATCATTTGTGGAGCTTCAGATTTGATGTGTAGCTATACGAATTGAGGTGTAATCCTTGGTTGCCTTTTTTTTTCAGGATGGGAATCGTCTTCAGTCATCTGGCAATGCCTCTGCCATCTGAGGCTTCTACTGATAATCCCATGATTGCTGTAATTAGTGTTTTTTGGCCTATGCTGGAGAAGCTTTTTGCTTCAGAACACATGGAGAACAGTAGTTTGTCTGCTGCAGCTTGTCGTGCCCTTTCGCTAGCAATTCAATCCTCAGGTCCTGGACAGTGTTCCACCTTATTTACAAATAACTTCAGGGTTTACTTGGGGACATGTAGTCATTTGATTGAATGATGCTATAATGCTGGATGTTGCTTAATTGTGCAGGCGAGCACTTTGAAATTCTTCTGCCCAAAATATTAGATTGCCTGTCTACAAACTTTTTGTCTTTTCAAAGTCATGAATGCTACATCAAAACTGGTAAGTATTTAGGCTCTAGTTCTGGAGCAATTTGCGTTAGTAGGTATTATGGCATTTTTATCCAAAGATCATCTTTCTTGTAATAAATGCAAAAGGTCTGCTTCATATTTGACTTAATGGTACATGCCCAATAGCACTTCCTAATCATCATTAATGTCTTGGCTTATGATTGAAGAATTAGCAAAAGTACAGTCGCAGATGCTAAGATGGTTTGTATAGCACTTCATTTTCTTATATAGCCAATATTTTACTTCACATGATCCGCCTGATTATTATCCTCTGGTTCTGAACAAAAATGTGGAGTGGCAAATATTCTTATCTATCAATGATGTCTTTGGCTGGTTTTTCATGTGGTACTATGACAAGGATGTTATTTTTATTTTCCCGATAAGTAAATATAACTCATGGCATGCTGTAATGACATCTTAAATGCTCACATGCAAACTTATTTATATTATAGTAGATACCAGCATTCAATGAACTTTCTTTCACAAGAAATTTGCTCCTCCTCAGCTTCGCTTGTTATCGAAGAGTTTGGTCACAAGGAGGGGTACGGTCCTCTGTTCATTAGCACATTTGAACGATTTACTCAAGCATCTTCAGTAATGTCCCTTAATTCTTCATATGTATGTGACCAAGAACCTGACCTAGTAGAGGCCTACACAAATTTTGCATCTACATTTGTTCGTGGCTCTCATAAGGTGTAGTATACATCTTATTCACTATTTTTCATTTTTCTTTATTTTTTTGACTTTTATTGGAAATTCAATCTGGGAAATGTACTTCATAGACATTTTATGTGCCTTATACTAGGAAATTATTTGAATGTTCTTTTTTCTTTTTTGCTGTTCAATAATAACCTCAGGAAGGATTGGCTGCATCCGGTGCTCTTCTAGAAATCTCTTTTCAAAAGGCAGCTATATGCTGCACTGCTATGCATCGTGGGGCAGCACTTGCAGCTATGTCGTACTTATCTTGTAAGAACTTTATTTTAACTACTCGTTTCCTTGTACTTGTGACATCAAAGATAAGAGCCCCTAATTGATATTTCTCTTTGCCTGTGGGTTCTGAAATCTAACAGTGTTTGCAATCTGAATCATGTTATTTGAGGAGGCAATCAACTGATGCCTATGGTTTCAATTGTCTTAAAAAATTACACTTTTTTTTTTTCAATTTAAACAAACAAACAAACTCTTTTTCCTTTTCTTTAATATGGAGACAGAAATATTCCTTGCCTTTTAGTAGGAAGTAATATCCACTCTGGTATCGAGTATGATCAGTGTGTTTTATCCTTGCAATATGACAGCATGATTGAGCAATTCCTGCTTATGTTTGATATATCTATTTCTCTTCTAGATTAGATTTTTTTTAAGGTTCTCTAGCATTGGCAGATATAGAATTACAGATGAACCCATGACGTTTGCACACATATATTTGGAGTCTGTTCATATCATATTACACAGTTGGATTACTGACCCATGCCAGTGATTATAATTGTTTATATTTTTTTTTTGGTTTGATTGTGCTTGAATTTTCTTGATAATTATATGATCCTTTTTATATGATTTGATTGAGCCTTTTAGGTTTCTTGGAAGTTGGCTTGGCTTCTTTGTTGGAATCAATGACCTTTTCTCCTGAAGGATCATTTGGTGCCACATCAATACATGTTATTTCCCATAGTGGGGAGGGACTTATATCAAATATATTGTATGCTCTGCTCGGTGTCTCAGCAATGTCGCGGGTAAATGTGGTTTTCTTGAATTTCAAATATATTGACTGTATTTTGTTGGAAACTCTTGGCGTCATATGTTCTTAATCCAGTTTAATGGCAATGAAGCCACTCACATCCCATGATACATCAAAGCATCTCGTGTATGTATATACCCCACACAGCTAAGAAATTATTCTGCTTTTCCCCCTTAATAGGTCCACAGGTGTGCAACAATATTGCAACAATTGGCTGCATTTTGCTGTTTGAGCGAGAGAACAACTTGGAAGACCATTCTTTCTTGGGAAGTTTTGCATTCATGGTTACAAGCAGCGGTCTGTCCCCCCACTTTCCCTCCTTTTTTTGAGCACATATGAATATCCTTGCATAATTGCTGTGTCGGCTTATTTTTTGTGCTTAAAAAATGTGAATAACGCAGATTTTCCTTCCGATTTGCATCCTGTTATGATGTTGAGTGTTCTATTTTGGCTCCTACATGCATGTCATGGAAATGCCAAAATGAGACCCTTTTCCATAGACCAATTACCAGAGATTGGCTAGCACAAGGACAGATAGGCTAACGAGAGGGTAACCCTAGTTGATTCTGCACTACTGTAGGAATCCTTCCGGAGAGGGGAAACCCTATCTTATAAGGAGAAGGACATGATGGGGCCCTCTGCTAATTGGGTTATGTAGCATTTCCAATGAATCTCATAGCCAATCTTCATCACTAAGGGAGAGCTTTTGACTGGCCTAGCTTTTACAAAAGAAACCCATTCAATAAGCTAAAAGTTGAGCTTTCGAGTTTTGAGAAAGATGGTTTGGTACCTGGTGTGATTTTGGCTCCTATATGCATGTCATGGAAATGCCAAAATGAATGTAGGGTAACAGGACTGCTGATTGGATAAGACTTATGTTTGCCAGGTCGCCATTGAACAACCTTACCATTGTGTCAATGCTGATATGACTTTGTTAGCCTTTGTTGTCTGAAGTTTTTTTCTTTTCTAGGGTAATAGCTAACCCCGATAAACCATGCATTCAACTGTGCTGTGTATGCTATATACGAATGTCATTGTGATACTGCAGGGAAGAGGTCCTATAGTTTGAATTTCTATGTCACTTCGGTCGAATCGTATTTGTTACATTTATTCTGTTTAACCAGGTGCAGGCTCTTCCAGCTGACTATCTAAAGCAGGGAGAAGCTGAAACAATGGTGCCCATTTGGTTGAAGGCCCTCGCTGGTGCTGCCTCGGATTATCTTGAGAGCAAGAGCACTAATGGAAGGACGGGCAATTACGGGCATATGCAAGGGAAAGGAGGGAGGGTGCTGAAACGAGTAATCCGCGAGTTTGCAGATAGCCACCGCAATATACCTAATTTCATCTAACTGCAGCAAACCTATATACAAAAAGCGTGTCGCATGCAGCTTTCCGACGAAATTGCTTATCGAGAAATGTAATTATTCTGGTTTTCAAGCCTCAGTCAATTTGGGACTGGGAGTTAGCCAGTGAAAAGAAAATGGTACTGAGAATGTGTTTCTTGTACAGCTTATTGCCCATTGCCTCCATTTTTGTTTAGATTAGGGCTTTGTGCGAGAGCATAAGAAAATGGGAATCACGGCGTCCTACATTCTCTCTTTATTTGCACCAGAGAATACATTGTACTTACAAGGGATGTAATTTAACCATTGATTTCTATTTTCTTTACTCAATTATTAATAATACAAATTATTATTTATTTACAATGTATTATTTTTTTATATAATATATGTTAGATTTTTCTTAGTATTTTTAAAATATTTTATTTCTTTTTATATCATGAAAATAATTAATTAACATTATATTTAAATTTGATTAGAACCTTTTCTATTTTTGTTTGCTATTCTAATGCGACTTAAATCAAATTATTTTTTTTTCAAGCGTCAACTGAGTTTTTTTTATTAATAATGGGATAAATTTAAGGTAATATTTTTAAATTTGAATGATAATGGGATAAGTAAAAAATAGTGTCTATTTTTTTATTAATAATGAAGTAAATATAAGGTAATATATGTTTAAAGGTCCATTAATTTTATACAATAACGATTTTTCCTAAATTACTTATAATATGAAATATTTTTCTATAATTTTTCAATTTTTTTATTGATTCCGAACAATTAAATTTTAGTTATTCAGATGTTGTAATGTTAGTACGAAGCGTTTAAGCAAAGACAATCTAATTTAAGGTTAAAAGAAAAGTGCGACTAAAAGTATTATAAAATTCATAACATCACTAAGAATTCATAATGACCATATCTAGTGCGAATGACCTTCTTTGCAACATCAGATCCTTTAACTTTCAATTGATAATACCCCGAACGAAGATCAATCTTAGAGAATACAGTAGCTCCTCGCAATTGATCAAATAAGTCATCGATCCTGGGTAATGAATATTTATTCTTGACTGTCATCTTGTTCAACTTCCGATAGTCAATACATAATCTTAGCGATCCATCCTTCTTTTTCACGAACAGAACTGGAGCTCCCCAGGGTGAGGTACTATGCCGAATAAATCCTTGATCGAATAATTCTTGCAATTGGACCTTCAACTCCTTAAGTTCCTTTGGAGCCATGCGATAAGGTGCCATAGAAATAGGTGCAGATCCTGGATAAGTCTCAATCTCGAACTCTGCCTCTCTATCAGGAGGTAACCTAGGCAACTCCTCCGGAAAAACATCAGGAAACTCGCTAGCTGTACACATCTCCTCGATCGTGGACAATGAACCTTTAGTGTTCAAAATACAGGCAATGAAAGTCTCATATCCCTTTCTAATCATACGATCAATTTCCATAGTTGAGATAATATTGGAGAGATAGCCAGGCCGTTCACCAAATAACACAACAGTCCGACCATCTGAAGTCTTCAGAGTAGCTCGCTTGTATTCACAATCCAGATTTACCTTGTGTTTATTCAACCAATCCATCCCAAGAATTAGATCAAACTCCTCTAAAGGAAGCTCCATAAGATCAGCGAGAAAAATTTCTCCCTGAACCTCCGGAGGACAACGTCGAAATACTTTATTCACTATTACTGCCTGTCCTACTGGACTCGTAACTGTAATCTTATTATCAGTGTTCTCGATCAAAATCTGAAGGTTTCGAGATACTGAGCTCGATACATAGGAGTGGGTGGAGCCATTGTCCAGTAATGCAAAGTATGGGATAGAATAAATAGTAAATGTACCTGCAATAACCTCAGGCTCATCCCTGTCATCCCGTCGTCTAGTGGCATAAACCAAAGCTGGCTGTCTAGCCTCAGAAACTGTTGGCCCTCTATTTTGCTGAGGTCAGGCTCTACTGTCTGTCCTAAACGCTGATCCTCGAGTCTTTCCTTGACTACGATCTCTAATTGGGGTCTGTACTGTAGTCTGAGAACGCACAGGAGTCTGAGTAGCGATCTGCTCAAACGAAGCTAGCTGAGGACAATCCCTCCGAAAATGATTACTGGATCCACACTGATAGCAAAGACCCATCTTCTTACGACACTCTCTTGTGTGTCATTTACCACAATACTCACAAAGGGGCCCATGATAATACGACGAGGAACCGCCTCGACTGACAACTAAAGGTGAGGATGCTGCAGGCCTGAAACGTGTATTGCTTCTCTGAGGGGCTGAAGTATGAGTCCTCTTCCCGGACTGTGCTGATGACTCAATAGGGCCTGAAAATTTCTTAGATCGTTCATGATCAACAAGCTCTCTACCAGAAGCTAAAACCTCCACTTCTTCAGCATCTTTGGCTCTGCCCACCAGCACATCAAATATCTCATCCTGATGGGTTACAACTTGCCTACGCAGCTCGTATCTGAGTCCAAGGGCAAATTTACGACATCGATCTCTCTCAGTAGGTACCATACTAAATCCATACTTCAGCAACTTCAAGAACTCGATCTCATATTCAGAGACGGTCATGTCTCCCTGAACCAGGTCTTGAAACTGCTGTTGTCTCTGAGCTAAGTAACGCTCTCCCAAAAAACGGCTCTGAAAGCGATCCTTAAAGAAATTCTAGGTCAAACGATCAGTAGGAACACTACTGGTAACTGACTCCCACCAAGTGTAGGCATTGCCATCTAACATCGCTACTGCCCCCAAATATCTCTTAGTTGAGTCCAAATCCAACTGATCCATGCGTCTTTCTGTATCCTGTAGCCAATCCCCAGCTTCAGTAGGAGCTCCACCAATCTGTCCCCCAAAAGTTCTAACTCCATTGGCAATCAAAGTCTGTGAAATAGGAACCTCGGATACAACACCAATAGCTCTGACTGCTCCCTGTATTAATTGCAGAAACTGTCTACCAAAATTCTCATCCAATGCAACTCTGGTAGACTCGGACTCAATATTCGTCACACCTATGATCGGTATAGTCATGCCAATACCAGCGGTAGGAGGCAGATTTGTTGGGGTCGTAGGAGCATGATCACCTATCGGAGGTGGGGGATCTACCCGTATCTCATCGATCGGATCTGCAAATCTAGCCACTCGACGTCGTCCATGGCTAGTTCGACACATCTAGCACTCATTTTGATGGATCTCAAGTTTACTACAGAAGATAAAACTTAGGGTTAGATAAGCACTTGGAGTCTCGAACACAGTTAAAATCTTAATAACTTTGTGACATGGCCTTTGTAACTTGTTTTGTAAAATATTTCAAAACCGTATTTTCAATGTGGACTCATACACAGTCCGATGGTTAAAAACCTGGCTCTGATACCAATAAATGTAACCCCCTAGACCCGGCCTATGCGTTTCGACTAAGTCTAGTGGATCACATACATGATTCTTAAAGACATTTTCTGAAACCGTTATTCAATCATTGTAAAATCACATTATAAATGACATGATATTTTACTATCAAAACCCAACTCATAAATATAATACCAATAAGTAAAAAATTAATTTAAAACATGTCTTAAAAATCAGAATCACGATAAACCGAATATTAATAGCAAAAGTGTAATCACTAAAAAATCCAATACTTTAAAATAAGGTCCATATCACCAAAATAAAGTCAACCTGAATGATAAAAACATTACAATCAAATATACTTCAAGAGATATGTTGATCCTCCAAGTGCTCAATCCGGGGTATCTAACCAACAGTATCTGAAAGGGGGAAAAACATTTTCGAAAGGTGAGCTAGGCTTAGTGTGTCCCACATTACCATAAAATCACAATAGGTACAATAAACGAGTAATAGTTCAGTAAACCATCATAATTTCATAATAGAGTTTAACTTTTGAAAATCATAGTTTAAACCCTTTTCTTGTGCACCATCAGCAGTTCCCAAAACTGCGTCCATATAGCTTACTTTAAGCACATAGCAAAAAGGAAGCCAACCTAAGGATAGGCTTTAGAGCTTGTATCCTTAAGTCCGTAATTCCATAAGTCCACATAGTTTACCTTAAGCACACAGCAAAGGAAGCCAACCTAATGAAGCATCTTGGGCCCGCGAGTCTACCCAAGAGTCACATTAGGTCCGTACTGTTTATTAGCTTGATCAGATCTATACCATTGTAATTCAATCCAACCTTAAATCAATATTTTCAATCAATATAATTTATGCAATAAGCATAATTTCCATAAATTCGTAATCATATATAGGTGAAAACCAATAATCATATATCAGTCATTGTCCATAAACCAGTAATAAACAGTAAATCATAGCTTTCAATGTACCATATTTCAAAACAAATAAAACAATTAAATAGTACTTAGGTAACACACCTCGATAATAGGTTCAAATAGTAGATTTACTGATTGCTGGTTTCACCACGCTCTGCTACAGTTTTCGAACGTGGTTTAACTGATCTAGAAGAGTTGGGTCGAGCTGTCGAACGATCCGGAAAGTATCTTATACCTTCAAATAATAATAATTTATCAGCCCCAAATCTTACTTAACTGTTCAAAGCTAAAATTCTTAAGTATATAAGTATTTTCAGGGTTTGATTATCAATTTGGAGGATTTCGAGTATGAATTTGGTCAAACGGATTGCGGAATCGGAATCAGGACGTCGAAAAACATAAAGTATGACTTTTCGAAAATTTAAATTCTTGGTCAAAGTCAAAGTCAACCACTTTGACCTTCGATTTAGAGGCCTTCGGGTTCGAATTTGATGAAACGGACTTCGGAAACGGATTCGGGACGTCGAAATTTACCAGAATAGGTATACTCGGAAAAGATTAACGGTCGTTTAAAGCCATTTTAAGTTTTGGTCAAAGGAGGTCAACGATCACGGTCAACGGTCAACGGTCAACGATCGGGTCGGGTCAGACCGGTTCTGACCGGTTAAACCGATTCGAACCGGTCAAAACCGGTTAAACCGGTTTTCCAGCTTCCACTCTCCGTGCGGCGGCGCGTGAGACCTCCTCTGGGGCTCTAAAAATCTCGAAATTTTTTTTAAAAATTATTTTGAGCGATTTCGAGATACTTACAAAGATCGGTTCAAATTTTTGAACGGCAGAGAGCTCGATTTCAACTCGGCCGAATCTTTGACTGCTCCACCTCCTCACGCGCCGCCGTCGATTGAGATCGAGGATGACACCGGTGGACTCGAAACGGCACAAGGAACACGATGGTGCAGGAGGTGTCGTAAACGGATCAACGATCGGCGGTGAATTTGAGATTTTCCCGGCGATAGAGCTAAAAAAAACGTCGATGCTTTGACTTGAAATTCCTGACTTTTGACAGCGTTTTGCTTTAATTA